AATCCAAATTTCTATACATACCCATGAGACACTATGTGGTATTCTTCCCATTTTTACCCCTCAGACCTGATTAGATGGCATGCTCCTCTTGCACATTCCAGGCAAGTGTGTCTTCTTTCAGTTCCTTAAAAAGGTCCAATCTCGTTTCTATCTCAGTGATTCTCACATGCTGTCACATTGTCTAAAAATGATTTACTTTATTTCTTCATCTGACTTCACCCTGTAGATCCTCTGGTTCCAAGTGTAAATGTCCTTACCTCACAAGTCTTCCCTGTTCCCCTAGAACTGTAAATCCTCCCTGTTAAACACTCACACCACCCTGTACCTCTGTAGCATACTTCACCAACATGTGATATTCTGCATAATCTTTCTCCACATACTGGAAGCATCTGTAAAATCTTCTTTATTTTTAATGTATAGCACAGTGCTTCGTTTAAGAATGTATTCTCTTTGAATACTTATAGAAATTAGTAAAATAAAGTCCTCTACCAAATTGTATAAATAGCAGTTGCATTCATAAACCAGGGCAATATTCAAGTCAAACCATCCTTCATGAATGCGAACCTCCATCAATCATATTGGACTCAAACACTCAAGGCAATAATATAAACATTGTGAATAGCACTGACCATCTTGACCAGAGCCATAAATCAGGCACATCCAGGATGTATCTTTCATTGAATCTTACTCAAATATCTGATTTTCTCATTCTTAGATGTTTTCAGATTTCAGTGTGACTAGTGTTGCTTTGCAGTGTAACTGTTTTTAAAAACATTCCATCAAGAAAACACTAGCCAATATTTAATAATTTACCAATAATAAAATGCAGAAGTAACAATTATTTTGGAGAGGAATCACAGAATATTCCATATACATAGTGAAGAGCTGAATATATACAAATATACATTTTGTAAAGTATTGCAGTAGCCACAAGAGGAATTACCTACTTGTCAAAGTAACCTATCTTTTCTCTTTCACTAACACCTACCATCATCACAGAGTAAAAATCAATTTCTAAATGAAATAGAATCATGTTAAAGTTGGCAGTACAAGAAATGTGAAAAACGATTACCATCTGGAAAATGAGTATTAATAACTAAAGAACTTCAGGTTCTAACATAAATGAAAGATATTTAAAAGATCTTGACAGTATTTCTCAAAATTAGCAATATTTTATAGCATTGAAAAATACATTTGGAGGCTTCAAATGCATTACATGAATTTGCTAAAAGTAATTTAGTAATATTAAAAATTGACAAAGAACAGGCTTTTCTTTGGGAAAGAATGTGTGAAATTGTGTCATGTTAATTGAACCCTGCTGTGGTAGGCAAGTAAGAAACTCATTTGCATGGAGTAAAACCAAGAATATACTCTGTCTTTAGAGCTAGGAATTTTGAAAGATGGATGGGAGAAAAGCTGCACATGAGGGCATTAGCTTTGTTAGGTACATTAAATAGAAAATGACTATTGTAATGTTCACTCCTTCTCTGTATTTAGAAATTATAAATGAAAGAATACATTTTGTTCACCTCCCTCAGTGTTATGCTATAAGGTGAGGCAAAAGAAGAAAACTATTCCACTGCTATTTGCTTTTTGTTCTGCCTGTATGATTTAAGGGGAGAAATGTCTGCCTATTCCCTTTTAGATTGAATTAGAAAAGGCACACTTAATACCAGGGCAATGCCAATTCGGTTTTAAGGATCTAATCTATCTCTTATCATCTTTGTCCTTCAACATAATTGTGAAGCAACCACCTGGGCCATAAGATGTAAATTTTGAGATCAAGCAGATTACATAAACTACAGAAAGGAAAGCAGTCAATCTTTACAAAGATGATGATACAAAAAAAAGGTAGAAAAAAAATAACAATGCAGAAATTTAATAGGAGTCCTGAGGAAATTATAGTTCCTGTTTCTAATCCTCTTATTCCACGAGTACATCAATGAAGAAATTCGATTTTAAAATTCCTGTTTCTTTGGGCATCTTTTAGAAGAGTGACACTCACACCAGTTGGGGTAACAAGAAAAGAGAAATAAATAATCAAAACAAGACATATATATTTCATTAGGGAAGACACCACATTTAATGGTCCTGGGCACTGCTTTTTTCATGACTGGCACAAAAGTAGGTGTTTATTAAATACCTCCAGAAGGAATGGATGATTATTTCAAATGCAGGGATAGAAGTTGCAGAAATTCTCAGAGTGGTGCATGGATTCCTTATATTATATTAAGAAGTAAATCAAGCATGAATATTTGAGAGAAAATGTAATATAGTGATTAAAGGCATGTTCATTTGAAGCCAGACTCAAGACTGGATATCAGCTCCACAACTTGCTAAGGATGTAATCTTATATAGGTAAGTAATTAATCATTATCTCACTTTCCTCATTTTTTAAATGGAAATACTATTTAACTCAAATCATCTTTGCTAAGACTAGATGAGCTTGCACAATGTAAATATTCTTCAAATGTTAACTTACTTTAACAGCCTACATCTCTACCAGTAAAAACCTCAACAAAGCATTCATCAACAAGTTAAATTTTGTATTATTCTATAATGCTTCTTCGTATGTATTTGTGCTATTATCAATATCAATTTCTATAGTTTTAGACAAGAAACAGAAAGGAAATAGTCTTTCATATATTCATTCTACAGGTGTGGAAACCAAGGCCCATGACCCACAAGGGGGCTGTTCAAAAACACTCTCTCTCATGGCAGAGCCAGGCCTAGAATACAGTCTATTTTCATGTTATTTTCAAACACTATTAAAAAAAAAAAAGATTAAAGATTGAAGTGTATGTAAAATGGATGGGTATTGTTGACATGATTAAGAATTGTAAAATAGAACTACAATACTTGATATTTAAGCTCTTATTTAGCAATAGGTACTAAAGAGTTACAGCCTTAAGTTATTTGTAAGAGATTATATGAAATGATGTATTTTAGGCATTATTTTTTTTTTAGAGAGAGCGAGAGAGAATTTTTAATATTTATTTTTTAGTTCTCGGCGGACACAACATCTTTGTTGGTATGTGGTGCTGAAGATCGAACCCGGGCCGCACGCATGCCAGGCGAGCGTGCTACCGCTTGAGCCACATCCCCAGCCCGTATTTTAGGCATTATATGTAGTAGGATTGAACTTCTTTTTCTTTTTTTAGTCATGTAATTTACGTGAAATTTATGAGAGTGTTTATAGAGTAACAATAAGGGATAAATCACTCATTGTGATATCCAGGTACCCAAGGATATATGTTTTATTAAAACCAGACAAACCAACAGACTCTAAAATCATTTTTTTCACTACAGTTCTAAGAGGAATTTCAGTCATAAAATAATTTCAAGTGTTGTTCAAACTAATTATCATTATATTGCAGGCTGCTACTTTTGTAGCCTGGTGGCATCTCTTCATCTAATCACGTTCTTAGTTCTCACGTTTCAGTGTGAATGCTTATCACCACATGGGGAAGTAAAGTTCTACTGCTTTCCCCCATTGTCTAACTGTTAAGCTATTAGATATCCAAGGCATTCGTGTAATTTAGAATACTGCTTTTATTGGTAATTCTACTTCCCTCTTTTTATCAGTACATAAAAATCACAAAGTATTTAATATTTAGAGTGTGACTCATAGTAACTTTTTCATCAGAAGGTATAATCCAGAAAAAAAAATCAAATATCTTGTTATCTCTTCTTCTCAATAGATATTTCAGGTATACCAAAAATGAATATTTGTTATAACTTTGGAAATAAACATTTTGCTCAAGAAAATATATTAAAGGAGAAAGTACACTATTACTCAACCAAATTAAACTATACCAAATCTCTTCAGAAACAGATAAAAGTTTTTGTTATTAGAAACATTTTAGTAACCTGAGAAACCTTCATTCTAAAGACTATGAAGAAAAATATTAGCTCATATAACAGTTCACATTTCTCACTTACACAAAGACAAAAGCCTTATGTTTTACAATCAAGATAATAAAAAAAACAATAACTATACTGCAGAAATGATAGAAACTGTGTTAACTAGAGAATGAAGAAAATAAAAGATCTTTGCTAGGGCAATCTCTTATTATGTTCAGTACTTATTTTTAAAAAGTCTCATTCAAATATATTATTGAAACTTCTTTCCCAAATACAAAATTGATATGGCTGAAGCAAGAGGGGAAAAAATCCCTTCAGCTAAATATCAGTTTTCCTTTCATCTTTCTGCTCTCTCGTGATGAGTAACTGTTCAATACTTGATAACATGATATTTTCTAAGAGCAAAAGAAAAAAAAAGAATAAATTTGAGGTCAGTTTCACACACTCAATATTTCATTTCTATCTTACTAAATATTAGAAATATAGACATTTATATTGCTTTGAATTGTTTTACTCAAAACTTCACATTATATATGTTGCTATATCCAAATATTTTTTATAAAAGTACAGATAAGATTTTAACTGTAAATAACTTGGAGGCTTAAACTGTGCCCAGATATAAGAAAGACTATGGTTAAACCCTTTAAGGAAAGTATTTTAATTCTTCTCCACCCCCTCCCCTAAACCGGCTATATTAAATAGGAGATATACCTATTTTCTTTAATTTAAAGCTGTACATTCAATACTTATGGTTACTCATTCTTTCCAGCTACACTTAATTTTTTACTCATATAATCTTAAAAATGGTTATAAAATAATCTGCATTAAACACAAAGCGTTGCTGAGTACCATTACTGTATAGATAAACAAATAGCTATAGTTTAAATTTTTGATATCACTCCCAAAATTCTACAGAGACAAAAGACATGTCATCTGTTAACAAATGTACTACAGGACAATTTTAGATTGTTAGCTAACTTAACCAAAATGCTGTACTTTTTAAAGAATAAAATGAGTCACTTGTTTAATCCTGAAATTCTTAATTAACTGAAAACAAAGTTTTTATCTGTTACTAACAGCCCCTACATTTATGAGTAAGCCATTGATATATAGTGTAAGTAAACAGATATCCTTACCTGGAATTAAAATTCAAAGAGTTCAAAATGTTGGAGAAAGTTTCAATAGACATACAATAACCCGAAACAGCATCTGTTACCATCGGCTCAGAATTTTTGGCTTTACAAGTGGCAGCAATACCAATCCTGGCCCAAAATCCTTGTTATGTAACATCTTATTAATATTTGCCATCAAACTGCTACCAAGCTGGTGAGGCACTAGAGGGCAAGAGTGTCACATGCAAGACCCATCGTCAAGGGACCCAGCTTTGGTACTACTTCAGGAAGACAGATGCTAACTAAGCTGATAAATAACACAATGTCTGCACGCAACAACGAACTTGTAATGTTCCTCAAAGAATATTTTAAATGTCAATTTTCTGACTAGTGGAAGAGTTAACACATTAATAAATATGCATAAGCAAATAACCACAACATGCAAAACTTTCGCGATTATATTTACAAGCCCACAGTCTCTCATGAAACTATTTTTTTTTATTGTTTAAATAAACTTATTTAAAACAGAACAGTAAAGGCTGATAAGTAAAACGAGTGTCAATTTCAAGACACTTTCTTTTCAAACCCCAAGAAACTTGTTCTGATCGCGGTGCCACCTCTGGAGTCCGCATTTCAACTCGCCTGGTTCGGTTTTTAGGCGAGGACCTGTCCGGTCATCTATCCTGATTACCTCGGGCTGCAGCGATCTGCAGGCATCTTCCTTCCCGGGTTCTCGGCCTCCGCGGCTCCCGCAGGCTGCCCTGCTGTATACCGGCGGAGCTGTACTCCAGTCCAACAGGAAAGACCCTGTCCTCCCGGCGTCCCTGCCAACCCAGCCAGTGGGAGACGCCGACTGGGTGGTCAGCGCGGGCAGCGCCTTTCGGGGAGTGGCTGCCGGGCCAGCGCAGGGGTCGTGCTGGGTACTCCTGTCCTCTCTTGGATGCAAACTGTGTCTCCAAGACCCACCCGGCCGCACCGCCACCGCCGCCGCCACCGCCGCCGCCCTCACGCCGCCTCCCGGGGCGGGCGCCGCCGCCGCCTCCCAGCTCCCAGCCGGCGCGCACCCGCGGGGGAAGGGGCGGAGGCGGGAACCCCGGACGCGAGCCTCCTCCATCCGGCAGCTACCCACCCACCAGGGTGGCCCCCGCTTATCTGGCTTCTCTGGCCTCCTGGAGACCTTGCTGTCCCTTCCTAGGCTGCCCGTTCTGAACGCCCCTCCAGAAGGATTGATGAAAGCAGCCTAGGATGAGCCGGGTTGTGCCGCCAGGGAAACGGATGCGGGCCCCTAGGCGGTAGCGGAAGATAAGGGCGCACCAGTATGATCCCCACTGGTCGCGCTTCAGTCATTGGCATTGGACAGGACAGCACGGTGGGGCTGCTGCATGGTTGCAAACTCAGAGTTTGCTCTGCTTGTCATTTCTAACCAGTCCCTGAAGACAAGTGTGGGGCCAACAAATGAGATGATATTTTGTAGATGACATTTTGGATTCAAGTTATGTTCTCCAAAACTATAGTTTGATTAGGAGCCTAAATCGAATGATTTCTTTAAAATCTCACTTGACCCCACCAATACAACACATGAAAGTCATAGTTAGTAGCATCTACTAATGATAACTTGTTGTGGACCTTTGTGCATTTATTTCCCAGTGCTCAATCCTCTATAGAAATTTATTTTGGAGGATGCAACCATTGTCCCGCTCGGTAACCCATTTGCTTCAGGTGATGTTAGTATCTGTTCTGACTTGTTGGGTCAGAGCAGATACTAACTCAGGTGTGGCCAGTGGTAGTGTTATGTCTTCCTGCCACTGGGATTGGTGTGTGATCAAGAATGGGAGATCAAAGACAAAAGGGCATCATTCTGGGGGAAATTTTTGCCTTCTTTAAACAAGTGGACTTCTCTGGACTTTGCACAACGAAGATCTGAACTTAGACCTTCTGTGTACCATGTGAAGTCAGAAAACGAAGCCAATGTTAGAGGAAGGCAGACCTGGCTGTTGGAAAGAAAGAAAAGCCCAGATGAAGATTCTTGAGCTCTGAATGTTGTTATGGCTGAAACAAGTTCTACATCTGGCTTTTTTCATACATGAATTAGTAAATTCATGTTGGATGTAAGCAGGTTGGACTAAATTTTCTAATCATCAGATTCAAAGAGACTCAAAGGATATAGAAATAAAATATTTAGGTTGTTTTAACTTTTGGATATGTACAATGAGATTCTCAATTATATCACAATATGATTGAATTAGTTTTTTTTTTAAAGGCCTGAAAGTTGTATATATTTCTTGCTCCATGTATAGAAAAGTATATAAAGTGACTGAAGCCATTGCTCCTTCTGGGAGCCTAGAAAAATGACAGGAGGTACAATTGTTTGGCCAGATGACATGCATCAGATTGACTTTATTCATTTTAATCTTTAGTTGGTGCCTCCCTTAAGAGTCTTGTATCTATTAGGAATTTTAGGAACCTACATGGGCTAGGAACTTACTTCAGTAATAGTGTTCTAGCATGTGCAAAGTCCAGGGTTAAATCCCTAGCACCACAAAAAATTTAAAAAGAAAAGAAAACCTACATTATTTTTACATTTTCCTTACTCCAGAGTGTCTACCATATCTTCAGAGCATCCATAGCATTCATTATTTTAGTTATCAAAAAAAATGTATTGAATACCTACTAATTGGCCCTAGGAATAGAATAATACAGAGGGAAAGGAAAGAAAAAAGCAGAAGCATTTCTTGTTCTTCAGTTGCTTTTAATGTATTGATTAAGGGAAAGGAGTTTGAGCTCTTCCACAGATTTCAGGGAATGGACAGATTCATAAGTCCACACATTTTTTAATGTCTCAAAGTACATAGGTATATTTAGAAATGGCATTCACATTTCTTCTTTTTCTCTCTTCTCTGTATAAGAACAACAAGAAAAGAAGTAAACCTCTCCTACAGAATAAGGCATGTAGTGTATTTATGACTGTATTTGAGGTTTTATTTTACAGTTCAGACTGAAGGAATAATCAAATTGCTTTGGGGAGAGTTGCTGCCTTCACCAGCTTCTGCTGCTTTCAACCATCCATCTGGAAGTATAGACAACTGATGCCATCTTTCCCCATGACATAGTCAAATTTCATAGCTTTATTTCAGAAGTTTTCATCTGTGCACATGTGACATTTAAGCCCCAGAAATATAGCTCCCTCTAGGTCTCCTTGCAAATATTTCATACGAAGAATAAACAAAGTTGAATTTGTAATACAAAAGGTCCCATCATATTTTACAAACCACCCCAAATTTAAATCTTAGTAGACTAGATTGGAACAGTTACTTTCAAACTTTAGTGTGTATCAGTATTACCTGGAGGGTTTATTCTGTTTTATTGATGGGCCCCACTCTCAGAGTTTCTAGTTCAGATCTAGGTTGGGGCGTGAGAATTTGTGTTTTACTAAGTGTTAAGGTTATAAATGCTGCTTACCTGAGTCCATATTTCAAGATCTATTGGATTAGAGTATTCTTGAAAACAGAGTTTATCTTTATATGTTTTTATTTATTTATTCTTATTAGTTATATATGACAGTAAAATGTGTTTTTACATATTATACATATATAGAGTATAACATCCCATTCTTCTGTTTGTACACAATGTGGAATTACAGTGTTTGTATATTCATATATGTCCATAGGAAAGTAATGTCCAATTCATTTCACTATCTTTCCTATTCCCATTCTCCTCCCTTTCCCTCATTCCCCTTTGTCTAATCCAAAGTAATTCTATTTCTCCCACCTCCAATTTTAAGCTAGCATCCGAATATCAGAGAGAACATTCAGCCCTTAATATATTTTTATAAATGAACATTTATTTCTGTAAACTACTTCCTTGTTAAAATCATAATAAACAATAAATTCAGTATTTTAATTTTTCCAATAAAATCACTTCAGAAAACAAGGAAAAGAAATGACTTATTTAAAAATAGAGAGACTTTAGCATAGTAAACACTAGCAAGATAGGGGAAACAGGAGAGTGAAACCTCCTTGAAGACTTACTTCCACAATCCCTGATTCATTTTTCTTGCACATCAACCTATATTCATTTAATATACAATAAAGAAGAGGAATATTTTTATTAACAGGTAATGGTTTACATTGTCTTTGATGAATGTAGTAACCTTGTTTTATTATTTCAATTAAAAAAATTTCTAGCTATAAAGATACTTTATTTATTATTTTCTATAGTTTCTTCTCAACTTTTAAAGGTTCTGTCCTCAAAAATAGTGCTGTTCCCTATGTGATACTAGTTTAAACTTTAATGTTCTAATCATAAGCTATGTAGTTAATTACAAGACTTGGATGATGACTATTTGGTAGTAAAAACACTCATAACTATAGGCTTAGCATAAACCATTGAAAGAACTTTTGCTCCATTTTAATGAGGAAAGATAAGCAATCATCAGATTGTAAAACATATTGTGTGAGTCTTCAAAGCTATCTCTTAATATTCAGGCAGGACCAAACATCATTAAGGTGTTTCTTTGATCTAGCCTACAACATTAAAACATCATTTTATAGTTTGGCCTCATGCCATGCAGTGCAAAACAGATTCACTGTGAGAGAAAAAAATGGATGATTTCTCTATTTTTCTGAAAACAGGCTTCATAAACACCCCAGAATATTTTCACTCACTACCAACTTACTCTGATGTTTCTCCATTATATCTGATCTTTGAATTCCAGTGGGTTAAAGAAAATAATAAATTTTCAACAAGTAAGAGTTGTATGAATTAATTTTGTTTTGTTCCTCTGAAAGTACTTTTTTGAAATAGTGAAATGAAAATTTCTTACAATGAAGAAAAATAGCAGAGAAAATTGAGATACCCTGTATATCCTGGATTGACAAATTCAATATTCTTAAGCTGGAGGCTTTTTGATTGAATTCTCCACCAAACATTTGCATTACGAAAGTGTGAGTATAAAAAACGAAAATTTAATTGGGAAAAAAGACAATTTATGCATATTTAGTTTCTTTCCTCAAACAAGAACAGTGTCCTCAGTAGCAATAGAAGCAATGGACAATAAGAACCCCATTCTTCCAGTTTGAAATTTCAATATTGTTCAACATGTTTTGCATTCTGGGAGAAATGCTCTTATTTCACTTTTCTTACAAGGCACACTTGAAATCAAACACATATATCTAAAGAAAATGAAATTATAATAACTGGTGGTCAACAGAGAATACCGTTTTAATCATTGGGATATATGAACATTTTATGTTCCTTCCACAG